AGCTCTTGCAGTGGAATAACGAACACTGTAGTTCCTCTACTGTGAAGACAAATCTTTACGTGGTCAAGATAAGGCTTTAAATGTCAGGAAACAATTGGCCAGTTTTTAAGAAAAGAATCTTTTGCAAAGGTGCAATGGGAGTTGGGAGCTCAGCTCCTGACGGGCAGTGGGAGCAGCCATGGTGGGAGCTTCCCTGCTCAGAGAGAGCTTTATGGTTGCATGGTTTGTGTGCCCAGATGTCAAGAAACAGTAAAATCAAGGTTGTAGGTGCAGTTTTAACAGCTTGGTGTCCATGTGCTGGGGGTGACTAGATGTCACACAATCCAGCACTTCTACCCCACTTTGTTCCCTTACAAGATGCACTATGGAAGATGGGCTGCTAATGCAGCAAGTTTTGCTGCGCGGCTCCCTTGTCTTTCATGTGCCTTTGCCAACGGGGACTCGTGTGGTGTGCTGTGATGCACGGAGAAGGGCAGCTGTCCCTGTGGGAAGCTTGTGTTGGCAGCAAAACAACAGCAGCACAGTAATGGAGGGGCAGGCACGTCCCGGTGTCCGACTGCCATGGTGGATCCTGCTTTCCCCTCTGTGTGACAGCTCACGCTTTCTCCCCGTGGCCGCGGTGGTGCAGGGAGGTGGCTCCACGTGGCTGCAACGATGGCTGTCGTGGTGCTGGTTTTTGGTGAGCTGGCATGGGAGTGCAGAGAGAGGACAGACCTCCCTGTTCCCGGCAGCAGCGCCTTTCCAAACACCTTCAGTTGCTTGTGAAGCTGCACCTGCTGAGCTCAGACCTGGGGGTGCTGTGTTGGGGCTGGGTGCTGTCTCTGTCACTGCTCTGGCTCTGCAGCTGCCATTGGATTGCAGCTCTTGCCTCTCCAGGGGATGCCATGCGGGAATGGCTCGCTGGGGTCGCTCGCGCCGGCTCCTTGTGATTCAGACAACTGCATCACGTAATTTCTTAAATAAACCCATCAAGTCCCAGACTTGGCTGGGGCCTCCTGCAGCCTGGGGGAGCCAGCAGGTTAATCCGGAGCTCCTCCGGCCCCAGCATCGGCCCCTTTGAAGTAGCTGCAGCTCAAGAGTGAACACGCCTTCTCAGGAAAGCTGGCATTTTTATTAAGCAGCAGACTTTTATTATCTGAGCTGAGAACGCAGTGATTTCCTTCCCCTGCCAGTAATCCCCACTCAGGGCACTGTTATGCTCTTCGACAATTTATTTTCTTTTCTCTAATTGCCAGTTTGCAGTGGCCGTGCAGCTCTCCCTGGGCTGTGTTCTGGGGAGCTTTCGCACTTTGAAAGCAGCTTAGTCCTTCCTTCCTGGCCACTGGAACCGGGCAGCAATTCCTTTCCAGGTGCTTTACCGAGAGTCCTGCTGGAAAAATAAGTAATAGCCCATGATTTTGAACTGATGCCTGATAACTGTGGTCTAGAGTAGAGTTTCAGCTTTCATGCATCCTTTGGGAGCCCTGATAAACTGCCCTTGACAGAGATAGTCAACAGATTATAGTACTAGTGCAGCAGGTTCGATGCTTTTCTGATGGTGCTCTGGCTCATATCCTGCATACGGTTCCTTTGTTTCACCTGGGCAGGGTATGGTTCTTCCCATCCATCCTGGGACAGAGCACCGTGGTGCTGTGCATGGTTAAGTTGCTCCCAGGTTTTGTCCCTGTGCTGACTGAAATGACTTTGGAGTACAATTTGTGTATGTGTTCAGCACCTTTAGGTACCTGCGGATGAAATGTGCTTAAGAGCTACCCAGGCAGGACTGACTTTCTGGAGTGGTGCTCCGTGGCGGCTCAAGCTGTCATCTCCCCAAGCCGGACTTGTGGATCAGGGCTGTTTAAATTTTAGTGCATACAAAACTATTTTTTTTAGTGTTGGGGTTTTTTTTTTTCCCTACTGATCACATTAGAAAATATTTTAAAAGCAGATAAATAACCATGTGGCATGATTGAGTTCTGCTGTGTGTGCATAGCTACGGTGGTGGAGACGGTAAGACATGAGCTCCGCTCTGCCATGCAGTACCTTTGCCTGCTGGAAGTTGGGGGCAAGTCTGATGCTATGCTTTATCAGTGCTGTTGAGGTATTTACTCTGTTGAGCTAGACCTGCAAACCAGCTGCCTTAAATTGCCGATTTTTTAAAAATATCCTTGAAATAAATAGAAGAAAGAAAAGATTCAATTGTCCTCCAGCAACAGGAGTTTCAATAATGCCATGTTATGAGCAGGGCAGATTTTACCAGCAGCAAATCCAGGCTGTGGGATTTTATGGGGGAGCAGAAGCCTGTGCCTCTTCCATAATGCGGCATCCCCTCCGTTTCCCTGCGAGGCTCACCCGTGGGAGCACAGGCGACTGACCCACAAAGTTTCTTCCTCTTTGAAGTGCTCCAGTCTGGCATGGGTCACTTCTGCTGCTGGCAGCTGAAAATTCTTGCAGCCAGCCCTTTGTGAGGAATATTTCAGAATAAGCGTCTACTAGGGGAGTTAGGGTGTGAGAGATTTTGGATCTGTAAGACTTTTTTTTTTTACAAAGTTTTATTATTTCTTGCATCTATTAATAGGGCAGCAGGAGGCTCCGTGTGCTTTTGTAGTCCCTGTTGTGCTCTCCAATGGATATATGCAAAGGCTCCAAGGTGCATAAAATAGACACTCTTAGCCAGTTGTTATGATAAAAATTACGTGCGTGTCATGACCTTTAAAGCAGTGGGACTGTGTGTGCATACTCTTCTGATAACACCACTGTTCTCGATTCCTTTCTGAAGCATTTCTCGCCGTAGGAGGTTTGCATAGGAGCTTGGAATATTTTTCTAATCAGCGAAGAGTCTCTTGGCTCTGATGGTAACTTGCAAAACACAGAGGAGCAAGAAAAGGGAAGAGGGATGACTTTTTCTAAGGGAACTAACAGAGAAGAGGTTAAAGGCGAATGGTAAGGCACAGCATGAAAATCCTGCCATCGTCTGCAGTGCTGTCAGAAAAAACACTGGCCCAGAAAGTGCTGTGTGCTCTTTGAGGAAAAAGCTATTCTGGTGCTCTTGAGGATGAAGGAGAGAAAAAAGTTTCGTAATCTATGTGCCCTATTTAAAGAGACTTTCTTTGTTTTAAAACTTTTAATAACAGTGCAACCAGAATTTGCTCTGCTTGCATAGCCCACACGTTTACCCCACTCCGCGTCGGACGTGCCATTGTGCCTGGAGAGCTTTGCAATATTCTGTATGGGTGTGAAGAGCGAGATGCCTGCTGTCGTGGTGAGGGAGGCATGGAGAGAGGAGCTCTGTGTCCTTGCGCTGCTGCATCCCTCAATCTGTGGTGTTAGGAAGGATTGCTGTCGTCTGGGACCGCAGATGGTTGCTCTGGGCTCGCTGCGGCAGTCCTGGTGCGGGTTTTGGGAGCTGTGGACAAAATGCTTCAGTGGCACGCCCGAGAGGGGTGCAGGCACCAGATGGGATGGAGACACTGTTTGCAAGTGTATTGGTAATTTCTGCTTTGATCGCTGCTTACACCATAGCTTTCTGCATGCTGGTGTGGGGGGCAGCAAACAGCATTGGGTCCCTGTCCCACCAGGCGTGCCCGCATAGGGTGCACCTGGGAAGAAAGAGTTGGAAGTCCTGGAGATGTGATGGTCTCAAAAGCTCTTGAGTAACGCGAGAGGTTATGCAGGGCGAGCAGCAAGGCCTGATCTTGCTTGTGATAGCGTTGATACCAAACCCCCATGGACAGGCGTCAGGCCACGCTCAGCTGCATCCCAGCCTTAACAAATGGGAAAAATAACACTTACGGTTTTAAAAATTAAACATTCCCTTTAATTATTGAACATGAATAATTTTCATGCAAATTGAGCCTGGATGTGTGTTTCCAGAGTGACACAGTTGAGAGCGATTACATCGTGGGGTGTCAGTAACCTGTGAACCGAGAGGCTGTTCATTATTTTTAGCATTTTATGAATAGTACCCTGGAGGGTGGGACACAGGCTGGTAGAGAGTTGGCCGAAGAAAAAGACTTTAGTTTGCACTGGTGGGCTCCCCTTCTAATGCTTTAACTTGCACACTGAGGCGTGTGGAGGTATGTTGTCTTTGTGTACCTGGGTATGGATATTTTGGAAGCCTCCTGGTGAGGAGGGCTGTAATTAAGGGAATAACCGCGCAGTGACTGTGCTTGCTGGAGGCTCTCCTTGCCGCGCGGAGGAGGTGTGGGCAGAAAGTCCTCAAGTCTTTGAAGGTAGAGATGGGAAAATCCACCCTGGCTTTTCCCAGCAAATTGACGGTCTCCGTGTAAAACTTGAGCTTCACAGGGCAGTTTGGCACAACCTGATGCGTGTGAGAGTGGTCCTGGCTGGGCACCCATAAATGGACACTGTGTCGTCGGCTCTCAGCATCACTTTGGACCACGGAGCAGCTCATGTCCAGGGCAGATGAAATGTTGGATCTGCAGCTGAAGTGAGCCTGGTGCATTTGGGAAAGCTGCAGCACTGCAGGGGCTTTTCAAATGGCTTTGAGGACACTTAGTGCAGGGCAGGTGCTGGGGGTTGAGTCCGAATATCCTCTGTGATTAAGCTCCTATAAATATTTTCCTTTTCATAATGGAATGTCAGCATTCACTGTTTCCTAATTTTAAACACTGTACAGTTTGTCAAACATTTATCTCTGCCTTAAATTAAGTCTTGCGATAGAATTCGTGTTAATTTCAAATCAATATGAAAGAGGGAGAGAAAGAAATTGCAGTCTAGCCCTTTTCTTGAATCAATATTTTCTTTAAAAGCTGAAATGTTAACTAGATCATAGTTTTTGCCATTTTGAAATGTAGCTTGTGTTTAAAGAATATATGCATTTCCCCTGAAAATAGCTGATGCGGGTAAGTTTTGCAGCAGGCACGGCTGCCAGCAGGCGTGTGACCCAAAGCGGGCAGGATGGGACCAGCCTTTGCAGCAGCAATGCGGTACAATGTTATCCTCCCTGTTCCTGAGCTCATGGTCTCTTAATAACTTCTTTTCTTTGTTCTGTTTTGCAGAAGCCTTTGAGATTGTAGTACGGCATGCAAGAAACTTCACCAACAGCATGTTTAGGACCCACTACCAGAGCATGGGGCCCAGAGCTCTTAAGTTTGTTGGAGAACTTTTTACTGATGTCTCGCTGTACATATTGGGCTCTGACATCAGTGTTAATGACATGATAAATGAATTTTTTGACAGTTTATTCCCTTTGGTTTACTCTCACTTGATTAATCCTGGCTTCCCTGATCCCTCTGTGGAAATGACTGAGTGCCTGCGGGCAGCCAGGAGAGACCTCAAAGTCTTTGGTAACTACCCGAAGATGATGATGACGCAGGTGTCCAAGTCACTGCAGGCCACACGAGTCTTTCTGCAGGCGCTCAACCTGGGGATCGAGGTGATAAACACTACTGACCACTTAAAATTCAGCAAGGACTGTGGACGAGCACTGCTAAAGATGTGGTACTGCTCTCACTGCCACGGGCTCGTCCTGGCCAAGCCCTGTGCCAGCTACTGTGGTGTGGTGATGCAAGGATGCTTGGCGGGCGTCGTAGAGATCGATAACCACTGGCGAGAGTACATCGGGTCGCTGGAGGGGCTGACCAAAGGCATGCATGGCATCTATGACATGGAGCATGTCCTCCTGAACCTCTTCTCCCTGGTGCGGGATGCGATTGTCTACGTGCAGAAGAACGAAGGAAAGCTCTCGACAACCGTGAGTGGTTTTCTGTAGTTCCCCTAGCTTGCTGCCATGGCAGGGCCTGGTTGTGTACCACTAGCTCTATGTATTGAAACCAACTTACCCCTGTCCTCCAGCCAACAAACCCCAAATGCTCCAATTACCAGCTCCTCCCTTCTTCTGCCCCCAGTTCTATGATTTTTAAAACTTTTGGTAGCATTTGAAACTGGTGTTTGTGTGGCCTGGGCTTCAGGTGAGGGCTTTGCCTCTTTTCAGATTGGTCAGAGCAGAAGGGTCTGGAGTCATCCTGGCATCAGCCTTGTAGCTGGGGTGTGAGATCGGGAGCTGAGATGTCCCACCATCTTCAGCACTCCCTGTGCGCTGTGCTTGCCTCGGGTAGCTCTGAAAGGCTGGTCCTGCTCTGCAGGTGTCCCCTGCCTCCTTTAACATCACTGAAATGTACCTCCAAATAGATGCCAAGTGAAAGTGTGTACTGTGGCATCCCCTGCTTCCTGATTTACTGAAGGAGATCTGGTTTTCCCTCTTTTGGTAGCTCATTCTGGTTTTGGGCCACCTTTAATCCCAGGGATGAAGTTATTTCTTATTTATTCGGAGTGATCTGACTCTTTAAAAACACATTGTGTGAATTTATGAGCCTCCCAAGAAACTGAGGCTTTCTTGTTCAGAAAATCTTGCTGCTCTGTTTGAATGCCAAGGACAAATGGGCTGTGGTAATATAACGCTTGTTTTGCAGAGGAGATTTTTCTTGAGACACAATTGAGCTGCTCCGTGCAGGTAGGGTAGAGTTGGGGATGGGGGCAAAGGTGCGGGAATATTGTTATAGTTTGCTTAAAGCCAATGATGATTAAAATCTGCCACCATTTCCCTGTTAGCTGCTTGTTCCTATCATTCTCGACTCCTGTTTACAAACGAACTGTGTTTATGTAGGTCACTGTAGTACTTGCACTGTAACTAATTCTTATCTTTTTTTGGGACCGTGGAAATGTATCGGCTTATGGATTTGGAGCTATGTGGCATTCAGCCAGCAGCACTCTTCTGTGCTGTTTTATGTGCCATCTTTGCTCGCTGATTGCCCGAGACATGCCACCTCACATATGCAGGCTGTGAAATAATGTGGTGGCACCCGGGTGGCTTCACACCCTCTGGGTGGTTTAGCACACATGGTACAAGCTCTCTTCATTGCTTAGAAGGGATTTAGGGACCAAATCTCCAGTAAGTTGGATTAGTCTTGTGTTGCGGTGACCAGGAGAAGGCTGTGGCTGAGGGCTGGGTTTTGGTGTTGGTCACCTGAGCAGATGGATGCAGGCAGGACTCATGGGCTGCATTAGGACTCGTTAGGCTCCAGGGTACAGTGCAGGACACTGGCTTTCAACCTGCATGCCTTAGCCCCTTTCTGCAGAAAATCCCTGTTTTACAGCAGCCTGCCAAGTGTTTCTCATGTCCCCAGGACCACAGGAGCTAATGGGATCCAGGGACAGCAGCTCTGCTGGGCATGGCTTCTGCTGCTGTGGAGCCAGGGCAGGCTCTTTTCCCATCGGTCAGAACCTGTCAACCCTCTCTGGAACAGCAAAGGAGCAGAGATGTAACTGTAGGTTTAGCTTGAGGTCAGGTGAGATGGAGAATTCATGTTACAGGTGATAATGATGTATACAAGAGAGAAAACCCAGCTCAACTCTAAGCTCGGTTGGCACTTCCAGGGCAGTAAGAAACAAAACTTACTTCTACATGTAATGTGAGCCTATTTGATCTTGAAAGATCAGTCGACATATTCAGCTGTGAGCAAAAGCATCCAACATGTTTTGCACCAGCAAACCTGCCACGCTTGTAGGTGCTAAGGCAGAACAGAAACATCGCCCTTACAGGTTGTGTGCCAGGTTTTGCAAGCACACACAACATGTGCATTGCTGTGTGGTCCTGAAAGGATAAATGTCTGTCCTCCCATATCCTTCTTTTATTGGCACAACAATAAAAATGCACTTTTTCTTGAAGATGTCCATGTATACAGTGAAGGATCATGACTGTAAGTTACATTATTGAATATTGAGACCTTGATCTGTCTACTGAAAACGTCTTTGTGGGAGGACAAGTAGATGGAGCACTGCTAAAGTCAACGCAAGCCATGGCTGTAGAGCCATAATCTGCCCATCCTCTGCCAAACCAGAACATAAATTGACTTCCTTTAAAATAAAAAATCACGGAGCATTGCAGAACCATTCAGTGCTTTTGTACTTGATGGAGCTGTTTGAATTCATTAGTGCCATATATAGTTAGGTACTTATTTAAACATAACTCCTCTTGATTATTTAAAACTTGAGTGATTCTTTTATTTGCTCTAGAGACATTTTTGAGTTATAGGAGTGCAGAGGAAAAAAATCCAAGCCAAGCCAGCCAATTGTCTGGCAATTGTCACTAAGAGAGAATGGCCACTGCGTTTTTAGTTTATTTTTAAAACACTGATGTTGCTCATCTAAGACTTTTATGTCAAACCTCAGCCCACAGCAACTTTTTTTACGAATGAAGGTATGAGCTGTTCAGTAGAGGAGTAGGGCGGTAATGGAAGTGCTGACAGTCTTAACTACAGCACTGCAGATGGCCTGGCTGATAGCTGGTCTGCATCTGGGATCTGGGGTAAATATCTCTGCCCCTAAGTGATAGAATGCAATTTTTTTTTTTAGCTGTGCTGGAATGAAAGTTTCTCTGTTAAACTTATTAGCACATATTGAGTTTCAAAGAATATACCTGGAAGTAAACAGTTGTATTTACTGTTATCCTGTAAATATGATTGTTTTTAGACACTGTTGTCATATGAAAGTATAAAATGCCACAGGAGTTGTCTTTGAAAATGTGGGGCTTTGCTCTCGTGCTGCTTCTCACATCGACCTCTTTTATTACTGACCTTGGCCACCACTGCTTCTGTAGGCAAAGTTCAATTCACCTGTACATTATTAAGGATAATGACAGGTTATTTAATTGTCATTAAAATCCCCTGGAATATGGAAAACTTATCTTCCATGCCCATAGTGATTATAGCCTGAATAACAACACTACTGCCCTTGCCTGTCCTTTGGGCTTCTTTGGTTTTCCACAGCATTGGTGGCACTTCTGCGGCAGTAGTTTTTTCTCCGGGTGTTTCAGGTCCTTGGGTGCATTACCTGACCGAGCATCCTTCCTCCATGCAGCTGTCCCCCTTGCCACCCACCCCTAGGCTGGGTTGCGGGCGTTTGCATGAGGACCTGGACCCCTTTTATAGCTTGCGGCAGACCTGGCTACAAAGGGCATGTGAACCGGAGCTTCAGAGGTGTTGCAGAGCCTCCAGGTAAGTTTCTGAGGAGCTCTGCAGTCCCCAAGACGTGGAGTCATACTGTTGTTAATCTGCTTTTGGAAACTGTGCGCCTCCAGGTATGCATTTAAATGTAAGCCTATGCGCGGGTGTTGTTCCTGGTATGGAAACAGCAATGCAGGAGAGTGAATTCAGTAATATGGCAGTAGGCAGTTCCCATCCCAAGCCTTGCTTTAACAGCTGATTTGTCAGCAATAGTGTGCGTTAGGGCTTTATTTCTACAATTTGTCTGTTTAAAAACTTCACACCTAAAATATGCTATTAAAATACTTTATTGAGGGAGCTGAGTCTCAGGGCAGATTGGGGAAAAAATTTTCTGTCTGGGGCTATATCTATATTAATTTTCCTATCTGCTACTTTTTCCCTGGTTGCAAATGTGCCTAGTATGTCCACCTCTTGTAGATATTTTAATCATGAATGTAGGGAAGAGTGATTTTAGTCAGTCTGTTCATGCTTTCTACCACAAACAAAGACAATCGGAGAGATGCAATACAAATAAACTTCATAAAATATTCAACCCCAGCACCTCTTGAAGTTAATGCTTTCTCTGCTTTTGGAAGTACAAGAGAAACAATAGGTCTTGGTGTCTTACATAGTAAGATGATGCAGTTGATCTCCTCTGAGGCTCCCTACCTTAAACCAGCACTGTAAATTTATTTTGAAAGGTTGCAGAGTTGAGGTGAAGACCGTTGATTTGACATATATATTAATTTGTCTATGTAAATATTTTTTTTCTTAGTGCTTTTTTCCTTCCCTGTAACTCATCAGGATTTTGAACACATCCCAACAGAGTGGGAAACAACAGGCAACTCATAGCACAGTGAGACACGAACCAAAAAAGGTGCGTGGCTTGGGGTGAGGCTGTAGCCATGTATTGCATGTGAGGAGGAGGATGCACTGCAGGTACGAGTTGTCAGAGAAAGGGATGTGGATTTTGGCTGCGTTAGCTGCTTTGCCCTGCACACCCAGCAGGGCACGTGTCCCCTCTCAGCCCTTCGGATGGGGGTGGCAGGACTTCTCCTGCCCTTTAGCTGTTGTGTGGTGCCTCTCTGTCTGGACGTGGAGCTGCAGCCGCCGATCCCCGAGGCCTCGCACAGTGGGAGACTCTGCTTGGCAGGACCCGTATGTGTTAGCGTAATTGGGGTCGGGCACAGAAGATACTGTGGAGCTGATGTGTCTGTAACATGACTGAATCTGGGAATGAGAGCAGGTTGCAAAGAAATACAAGATTAGTTTTACAAGTCTCATAGAAAAAGTACATCATGAAAAACACCAGTAACCCGCCACCAAAAAAACATATCCAGAAACTTCAGTTAGTCCAGGCTTGTCAGGCAGGTGTGCCCCAGCCTGGACATCTGCATCTCTAGGGAGAAATGCAAAGAAATGGGCTGATAGAGCTGCCCAGCCCCTGCGGCCCCCCTTGCAGTCGGTGGAGGTGTGCAGCTCTATCTGCAGAGTATTGCCTAGAAAGGAAAGAGCAGGGAGCTCAGCAAAGCATTTTTCTTCACTCAGAACTGATGGCCGAGTTTCTAGAAGATCCTGTTAAACTGCAGGATAAAGGTAGCCAGACCTTTGTTGAACCGATTGCACCCATCTGTGCTGAGGAGGGGAGAGGGTTAGAGGAAGGGTACCAGCGCCGTACGGAAACAGGGTGCAGTTCTCGGTGTGCTTGCAC